GCTTCCATGGTTTGGTGAATTCACAAACTCGGATGTACCCGTCGTTGCACGGAGCGTTCGATTGGGTAGATGGAGCGTGAATTCCCGATGGCTAAAACCATGTGTAGAACACATATGGGTTCAAAAAAGAAGGAAAAACTCAACCAGGAAGTAGAATCGGCGAAACAATACTAGAATCGGTCAAAACAAGAAGGCAGACTCCTGGCGCGATGTCAGAAGAACTCGGCGCGAGAAAACAAGAGTCGTCGCACGGCGATGGATCCTGTCGCCTCGCGACAGTTCCTACGCTTTGAGGCAATTTTCTGTGTTTTTTGGATTTTCCGATTTTCGTAGTATTTTTTTCAATTCTAATTGTGAACGATATTTCCGACTTTTCCTACATGTAAAAATCCTATGTTTTTTACGCATTACGGATGGTCTTTCAAATGTGGACCTTTTTATGCTTATGCCATAATGTTAATCAAAATTACGCACATGAAAATCTAGAATCTTTCAAATCTCATCCACTCATTCTAAAGTCAATTGCCAAAATAAATTTAGGAATCAAAATTAGAAATCCTCCCCAGTGGAGTCGCCAAAAAACTGTAGAAAATATTTCAAACATCAACTTTGAGCCCCACTATGATCATGCATTTAAGCATGGTGGCGTCCAAAGGGAAAGAAGCTAGAGATAAAAGAGTCGCCCACAAGTTTTAGGAACTTGTAAACCGTTCACGGGTGTGAAGGTTACACCCCATTCACGATCACGGAGATCGCTAACTCCATAGTGGTCCGGAACCATGACTGAATATTCGGAAATGATGGTAGGAATCCAACCTAAAAGAGATTGAACCCGCCTCTACTTAATTCTTATGATATTCATGTGCACTTTCCGATCAACATACATCCAACAAGTTGGCCCTAAACCTGTTTAATCTACGTTGGTTGATTATTAATGCACAAATAAATCTATTATTGGCGATCACTTGAATTAAAATCATATTAGCCTAAAATCAGATTATTAATTATCTTATTAGGCATGATTTCAAGTACAAATTCCCTTTAAACCTGCAAGAAACGGCGTGATCAAGCAATAGCAATAAATCATGAATAATCAAGCAACATATAAATTTATACAACAATCATCATCATAATAACATCATCAAAACATGATTAATAGCAAGATCCTAGGTTTGATACTAAACGGATTAATAACAAACCTTAGCATGTCACTAAATAAAAAATTAAAGCAATAGCCTAAACATGATACCATAAAACATGATATAGAAATATTAATTAACATCCTAAACATGATACTAGAAATCGTAAAAGCATCCTAACATGATACTAGGAATTAAAATAATATTCTAAGCATGATTTTTATATCAAAAGTGAGGAATAAGGATAGTAGATCTACTCACTTTGATGTCTCGTATTTCTTTCTATCAAAACAATACACACGTTAGTAACTTCAAGAAAGATTAAATTAAACAAATAAATCAAATAATAATAATTGAAATATAGATTAGGGACCAAACCCTCAGAACTATCTACCTTCCACGTCGAGGTCGAAGGCAACTACGAGAAGGGCTTGGAGTATTCAAGTCTCGCAAAGGACGTATGATATGTGATGTGTTTAGGTTAAGGCTAAGAAAAAGAGAGAGAGAGAGAGAAAAGCTTTATAGCTTAGAGAGGGATTAAGATGATGATTGTTGGTGATCCAGCTTGTTGATGATTGAAAATGGGGTAAAAAGACATCTATTTATAAGAAAAAAAAGGGTCGAAAGATCAGAAGAGAGTCAGAATCCGACTCGGAGTAAAACAGGTTTCCGTCACGACACGATAATTCCGTCGCGACGCGATATTTTTTGGAAGATAGAATCCGTACGGAATTCGACAATCAATCAAATTGCGTTAACCGTTCCGTACGTATTCTAATTTTATTAGAATTAAAATCATTAAAAGACAAGTGTTTTATCCGATATAAAATTCTTAAATTTTACCTTTTCAAAAACAGGATAAATTAGAACCTTCTAGAGAATTCTATTAGCCAATAATAAATCCTAAGGGATTTAGGAATGAAGTTAAGGTTAATGGACCCTCCACATGGTCATTGGGTGGTAGGTAAGGCTCGGTTTGGGCCCAGTTTAGTATTTTGGCCATAACTTCTTCGTTATAACTCGGATTCGGGCTTATAATAATCGTTGGAAAGCTCTTTTCAAGCCCCATCCAACTACACAATTATTAGACCCGGATTATAAACCAAAATAAACTGGTTTGGATGTTTTTATAAAGAGGTTACGAAATGAATGATTTTAAGGATACGAAATAAATGATTTTGGGTTTAAAGGCTCGAAATAAATGATTTGGATTAAAACGTTTAATGAAAGGTTAGAAATATGGTCAAGGCTAAAGGGAACTTCACGAGATTCTTCAACTCTTCACCTAACTCGATAATCAAAGACGTGAAAGGTACTCATCACTGGGTTTGGTTTTTGGGGAGACACAATCAAGTGTCTACGGTATAAGTAATAGAGGAGAGAAATTCAACTAACCATCAACATGAGTGACCATTAACACCCCACCAAACGATCGCAAGGAGTGCAAAATGGGCAGATCTAGGGATAAAGACACCCCCCTAACCTTTTAGCTTCGCAAACGGCAGATATAAGTGACTATTTGTGGGTGCAAATGGGGATAGTATGGTGATACTCCAAAGGGGGAAGAACTTAAGAAAGAGGGAAAAGAACTCACGAAAGAAGGAAAAGAACTCAAGCTAAGAAAGGGGGAAAAGAAATGAAGAAGGGGGGAAATGACAATTAACGTCTTCACACTGTCAAATTTAAAGCAAACGCCACTTTTTCATTATATGTTATAATACAAACTAGTCCTACTTGGCATATATGATAAACACCTAAAAAATCACCGAGAGTAACCTGGGTGGACTCGTAAATATCAGTAATTTTAAAGAAGAAATTTATTGGATTTTTTTTCGACAAGTTTATTGGATTTTCAAATTGAATATCGGAAACTAAAAAAACACTCAATAAGTTTTCAAACCATTATGTTATTGGCGAACGTAGCATTTAGTTTTTATACACTTACATACAAGTTTTGCTACAAAGAAACTGAGTTATAGTTGACTACTTTTTTCTAAAGAGATGATCAAAATCTCGAAATATACTTCATATATTAGGGTATGTGACTATTAATTTTGGTTGTATTCATTCCTCATCTGCACTTAGTTACACTGCCCACGTCTAATGAGTGAAATTATCCATATGCCCATAATCATATCCCTCATTCATGACGTAAACCTTGCACCACGCCCAACACTTACAACCACCACCAAAAAATCAAATTTATTTTTCGTTACCATTGTTAATAGTACATACCCCAATATAGTAGTAATGGTTGGATGTTTTAGGCCCTGTTCTTTTGAGTTGTTCTGCTCTGATCTACTCTGTTGAGTTTTACTTTCCTCTGCTAAAATCTGCTCTACTCTGTTCTGCTTAATAATAATAATAATAATAATAATAATTAATATTTACTTATAATAATAGATAATTAATATTTAAAGATAATAATAATAATAATAATAATAATAATAATAATAATAATAATAATAATAATAATAATAATAATCTGCTCTGCACTGCCGAGAAGCTCAAAAGAACAGAGCCTTAGTGGTCTGCTTGGTATTTTTCGGCACTAACACGATAACACCTAGAATTTTATTCGGTACCACTAGAAATTCCAAGTAGGTGGCTTTGAAGTTAATTTGTTGTGGTGGCGTGGGGTGCTGATGATGGTTGGGTGGGTTGTGGGCTTGTGGAGGTTGAGATGAGTGAAAGGAAAGGGTGTGCGATAAGATTTATCCAAGGATAATAACATCCTTTGATGAACACCTAGTGCATCCTTTAGTAGAATTTCACTTATTTTATATTGTTAGCCTGAACTTTAATTTATTAAGCATATTAACCTTTATCTTATCTGAATTTATTACCCATAATATTATATGAATCTATTAGCCTTATCTTATATTATCCAAAATAATCTAAACTCATTACACCTAACATAAATGAAAAAAAAGTTAAAAAAAAAAGTCTAGCATCTCTAATTATCAACAATATTTATATCATACGATTTAAGGAAATGATTTAGGCTAAGGGAGGAAAGGAGGGAAAGGGAAATGGAAGGATGAAGTATCTTTCATTTTGATAACAAAGGAGGAAAAAAGGGAATTAGGGGAGAAAGGGAACAATTGCATTGAAGAAATTGATTAATTTAACAACAAAGATATTCGGAAGATAAAGTAATCATTATTCATCTATCCCCTCCCATTCTTCCCTCTTCCCACCCCTTTTTCTTATCCAAACACACTGTAAATCAAAAATACTTATTAAAGTTATGTGTTCAATAACTTGAATTTCTCTTATTTTATTCCATTTTATGTGATTAACCTCATCTCAATCATATTTGATAAGAACTTATTAAACTTAATCTTACCGTATATCATATCTCATTAACTTCTATTATACCTAATCTGAACTCATTAATCTTAATCTTATCCTACCAAATTTTATTAATCTCTACTTCCTCCGTTTCTGTAAGTGTCCCATTGGGAATTTTGGCACTATTCACTAAACATACTTTGACCGATGTTTGTGAATTATATATAAGAAAAAATATAGTTTGAGTACTTGTTAGAATCGTCTTAATGAGTAAATAATTAATATTCAATTGTTATAATTTATAATTAATGATAATTAAAGATATCGACTACATGTCATGTCACTATAGGCACTAAAAAAAACCGAAGGGAATATATTATCTTACACAAACAGCGGAGTACAAAGTATTACGGAGCACCTTTAATCTTATCAAATTAAGGCGAGGAAAACCGGGCCTAAATCATTTTAAATCAAGGTAGCTAGGCAACATGAAGCATGCCAACAACTAATACATTTCCTAGCAAATATCTCAAACATTTTTATAGGCCCCATTTCACTTCTCTTTTTGCATTGCTCACTTAGGCTTACAGAAAACGCAACGTCATACTCTCAATTTTGGCGAGCTTCCCAAAGACCCTCGTTCTCCTGCCTCTCCCAACACTTCTCACACTTTATAAGTGTGAGAAAAGCGCCGCTCTTCTCTCTCTTCGATTGACTTCACTTCGGATCTCTCTTTCTCTCTCTCTTTAGATCTCTCTGCTTTCTGGGTATATTCTAGAGGAGAGAGAAAGAGTTTCAGCAATAACAATGGCAGCAGATCAATCCGCTAAGCCTGCCGGAGTTTGGCCCACTGTTAAACCCTTCGTTAATGGCGGTGCTTCCGGTATGCTTGCTACCTGTGTCATTCAACCCATCGATATGATCAAGGTTTATCTCTTCTCATGAATTTACATTTCGGTTTTGATTTTTGGGAATTTTAAATTTTTAGGTTGAAATGTTGATTTGGGGTTTTTGTTTTTCACCTGGGATTTGTGATCTGGGGTTGTATTTGATTTTTTGGTTGATTTTATAGTTTTTTTTTTAGTTGAAATTATGTGATCTGGTGTTGTTTCTGATGTTTTTGGTTGATTTTGTGAAATGGGTAGGTGAGAATTCAATTGGGTCAAGGATCAGCTGTTCAGGTTACCAAGAACATGCTTGCAAATGAGGGTATTGGTACCTTCTACAAGGTTTGTTTCGATCTTTTATCTCGATTTCTGTCAATTCTTGTACGTGCAATTTTCGTGTTTACAGTACCTTACAAGTCCGAATCTTTATAGATCTGTTTTTTTAATATATGTGCACAAAAGTTGGAATTCGTTGATCTTATTGCTTTCGAGGAAGCTTGGTTTGGCAGCGTTAAATGGGAAAAGGATTAATCATGGATGTAGATGTGTTATATCTGTTAGCATTTTGAGTGGGTTTACCTTGCATGTTGTGGTCTAATTAGTTATTGTTCTGCAATGAATTGTTGGTTAGTTGATCTTATTTTGGTTTGGAAGCTGACAAACCAACGTGTAATGACTAGTATGGATTAATCTTAGAATTGGACATGTTGTGGTCTGATTAGGTGTTGTTCTGCAATGTATGATGATTGTTAGCATATTGAGTGATTTGCAAGGTTGTATGTTGTTTGTTTATTGCAGGCTTCTAGATCTTCTCTCTGCTTACGCGGCGGAGAACCTTGGTTCTTTGGCAATATGATAGTATAATGGGACATGAATTAATCATGGAATATCATGTTATCCTATGATAATTAAGTATGTCAATTGATTTGCAATGTTAGATGTATATCCTTGTATTAATTGGGTTTTTATTTGAAGTAATTCATTTGGTTGCTTTAACGCTCGTATGGGCCATCTATCTCATATGGACTCTTTTTTGGTGCAGGGTCTGTCTGCTGGTTTGCTTAGGCAGGCCACATACACAACAGCAAGACTTGGATCTTTCAGGTAAGAATAATTTCTGGCTAATGTGTAATCATTTTAATCGACGGCTTGTTTACTATAAATATCTAGTTTGGTTCATAAGAAAGTGTTACTGCATGTAGCTCCTCTGATCTGTCACCCTACCCTGGCTATGATCCTACTTTTGGTGATATGATTGATAGTGCAATAGCGCATATGTATCAAGCTCTATTATAAGTTGCTCCTCCTTATAAATTGAGTTATATGATAATGACAAGTTGGTGTCACAATATCATGTATTGATTGACGTAATGTGTGATGAGAAGATATTATGCATTAATGCTCTTCAAGAGTTTATTATTGAGTGTTTTAAATATTAAGCTTGCTAGAATTCCAAAAAGTTTGTTCCATCTTCCATTCTTGTTATCATTTTTTTTATTATTAGTTTTCTATTGTCTTCAGGATATTGACGAACAAAGCTATAACTGCTAATGATGGAAAGCCTTTGCCTTTGTACCAAAAGGCTCTTTGTGGATTAACTGCTGGTGCTATTGGAGCATCTGTTGGTAGTCCCGCTGATCTTGCACTCATTCGTATGCAAGCTGATGCTACTTTGCCAGCTGCACAACGGAGACATTACAAGAACGCATTCCATGCCCTTTACAGAATTGTTTCCGATGAGGGGGTTTTGTCACTCTGGAAAGGTGCAGGTCCAACTGTTGTAAGAGCTATGGCATTGAACATGGGAATGCTTGCCTCTTATGACCAATCTGTGGAATTCTTTAGGGATTCTGTTGGCCTCGGTGAAGCTGCTACTATTGTAGGTAAGATGATTTGCACATCTACTTGCTGAACTGGTTTCTTCCTTCTCCCTTCTCTCCTTCGACAAGTCTAGTTTTTTGTTTTTTAATTTTTCTGAAATGAATTTCACGTTACCACTCTGTTTTTACATATTTTGTTCCATCCAATTTAGCTCTTATTTTCGGTGAGTAGTGGATGTATCTTTTGGGCTTTTTTTGTTAGCCTACTTTTAAACTCATCAAACACTAAGAAACCCTACTTCCTTTTGGGTGACGGAATACTACTTGCCTGTACCTGAACATTTCTAATTGGTCTCTTGGCATGCCATTTCTTTGATTGAGGCTATTGTCAATGTGAAAACTTTGCTAGATAGATTTACTATATGATTCATGATTGTTTTTGTTGCTTTATATTGTGCAAGTTTTTTTGTTAAAGTATACTTTTTTCCATGCTTATTTATAGTTATCCATTTTCTTAGTTCTAGTCTTTCAGATACTACCTCCGTTTTTTTTTAGTTGACACTGTTTGACTTTTACACTATTCACACACTACACTTTGACTCGCTTTTGTGATTTAAGATACGATAAAATATAGTCATGTGGGATCTTGTTTGAATCGTCTCGATATATATTTTATTAATATCCACTTTTTATAATTTTACAATGTTGATAATTAGAGATATTAAGTGTTAAAAACATGCATTGGAAAGTGTGATAATAGAATAGTGTCAACTAAAAAAAAAAACAAAAAAACAGAGGTAGTACTTTGGTGTAGAGAGATATATTTGAGCAGGCTGAAAGGTCTTAGTATTTAGTCAAGTATAACTTAGCTTGACACTACAGCTTTATGTGATCAAGTGCAAAATGTAAGCAATGGGTTGGAGATGAAAGTGCAAAAGCCGACGCTAATCACTTATTTATTTTATTTTTGATTCATCTATTCTCTTGATTGCATAGTTGGCATAGTATTGAAATAGTAGCTCAGTTTATGTACAATTACTTTTTATACCATCCAAAATTTTTGGTTAAGTTACCAACCATATACATCTTATTCAGTTGATGTACCGATACTCGAGTACCATCAGTAGTATATATCCTCTTATTAAAAAAAACTTTTTGTTAAAACAGTACATATCAGTAAACTAAACCTTTTATTCTAAAAAAAGTACATATTAGTAAAATAAAATTTATGAATATTTGGCACACCTATTCAAACTCATCTGCCTGGAAGACAATTAGTATTTGTCTATTGTTGAAATGGCTAAAGTTCTTTGTCAGTTCATGTTGTTGCAAACTTTGAAGCATGAGAAATAATTCTGTGTCGGAATCCAAGTGTGTAGTACTGATCCACGTATTGAGTTATTTCTGCCATACAGGTGCTAGTGCTGTTTCTGGATTCTTCGCTTCTGCTTGCAGTCTACCATTTGATTACGTGAAAACACAAATTCAGAAAATGCAACCTGATGCTACCGGGAAGTACCCATATACTGGTTCGTTGGACTGTGCAATGAAAACATTGAAAGCTGGTGGACCCTTGAAATTCTACACTGGATTCCCTGTCTACTGTGTTAGAATTGCCCCACATGTCATGGTATATAATTCTTCATCCCTCCTCTATTTTGTCTTCTTTCTATCTTTCGTTATCATCGGGGTATATTGGACTAAATGCTTGCAAGTGACGCCTCACTTGTCTGATAATCACAACTGTCTGAGAATCAAGAATACTTTCAACCCTGTGATGAGCATATCTATTATGCTCCTAAGTGTACCAGGGCTATTTTTGCTGTGCTCATTTGGGACTACCTTTTCACATTTGAGGCCATCCTAAATGAGCAAATCATTTAAAAAAAAATTGCCTTTTGTATACCTAAGATACCAGGGCAAGAGGAGCTGCCACATAGGCGAGTTTGTTAACTAGTAGTCTAATTTATGAAGGTTTTCTTTTGCAATTCTCTTGCTCGTGGCAAATCACATATTAAATTTCATTTTTCCCTTTCTGGTCATTTATATTATAACATAATCTAACTCTGGAGTGATCTGCTTTCAGATGACATGGATTTTCCTGAACCAAATTCAGAAGTTTGAGAAAAAAGTTGGATTGTAGGATCAGAGACAAGGTCATGCTGCTGTAATAGTCAACCCTAATATTGCAACTCTGGCTGCTGGTTTCAGGCCTCAGCAACAGTCTTTTTTTTTTATCTTTTATCGCATTCAACCTTTCAAATTTTGCTGGAACTGTAATAAATTAGCAAAAACTATCGGCTTAGAATTACATGATTCTTTTGGGGTAGGATGAAGCCATCCTTAGTGATAGCTGGATTAGTTACATTTGTGGGAGTTGGAGACTATAAAATCATCGCGGAAATTGTAACCTCAACCATAATGTGGTTGTTTATTTTGTCTTCTTACAAAAATTTCTCGCTATTTTTAAGCAAAGCCTGGCTCATTAGATAGCTGGTATTATTGCTCATTTTGATTCTAAGTGCTATCATTGTAGACTAGCTCACTTGTATATTTTCGGACACCCCATTCAAGTATGCTAGGTGAAAACTGTGGATACAAGCCCTTTACTATGAATAGAGTTGATCCTTTCTTCATCAAAGGAGGATTTTTACTTTGAGCTAGCTAATTAGGATTCTATGGTTTGGTTTATATGGCAGGTTATGAAAGGCTTTCTCTATTTTATGAGTTAATTATAGCGGATTTGGAAAGTAATGAAAAATTTTAAATTAATTTTGTTTTCTATCGTTGAGGAGCAATATTATTTTTCTCCTTTGGAATTTGGAAAAAATGGTGTTCTAGTATAATTCCGAAAAACCATTTCCTTGCGGACGAGATGAATTACTACAAAATATACATCATCATCAAAGATTATTATTGATTTAAAAATATTTATGAATATCTATCATGCCAATAATTCATGCTGGTGCTTCGGCTTAAAAGTTTTAAATAACTCAATATACTTGTAATATATACCGAAGTAGTTGAAAATAGAAAAGCATCACCAACTTTATGAAAGCTTTTTTTTTTTTTTTTTTTTTTTTTTTTTTTTTTTTTTTTTGAAAAAGGTGTGTGAGAGAATATATATGAACATGAACCTAAACTAGATGATTTTCATAAAGCTAAAATTAAATTGATATATTTAAAACACATTTACAAATAAGATGTTTTAAAGGTTTCTGTAGTATAATAAGAATTGCTAAAGTCTTAGGATTCACCTATTTCCTTTGTGTATTCCCCTTCCTTTTCCTTTTCCTTTTCCTTTTATTTCCCTTATGTAATATAATTAGTGTGTTACTATCATTGCCGCGTTCACTAGAAATTCTATGTAAATGCTAATTAAAGCTCTTTGGGGGGGGGGGGTGGCGGGGCGGGAATGATTAATGGAAATCCAAGCTCCCTATTCGATTACATATTGTATTGAAACTTATGTGTTAATTTAACTCTTTATAGATATTGTGCTTTTCTTGTTTTAAAGCATCCCCTCCAAACAAAGAGAACCTCCCAAGAAACTCCATTTGTTGTCGGATTTGCTTGTGCCCGATTTGAATTATCGGCCGTCACAAGCCCCGACCCCGCACTCGTTACCTATAGACGCGTGCTTCCTTGAGATACTTTTGTCCGCTTGTGTTGCTTTGTGCTCACGAGTCCCATTTTCGCAACAGGCTTGCGTCTTTGTCGCCAAAAAGCAAGAACGCGCTGCACGATCCGGTATCAAAACTTCCGGACCGTGACACTGAGCTACATCATGGTTTTGGTGTTCAAGAACAACCTTTCTTTCTCTTTTTTTTTTTTTTTTTTAGTTATTCATGTTTTTGTCATTGTTTCAATAAAATTGAGTGTATGAGTCCCTTGTGATCTGTATTGAATATCTTTTGTTTTGGTAGATTATCGTGAATTCGTTTTGTTGACGAAGAATTATGCAAGATTGAAATAACTATCATTTCTTCAAATTTAAACAAGTAATGTATAGCGATATATGCAAGTGATATTACATAGTGTAAGATCTTTCAATTTATTTTGTTATACGGTATATAATCACCCCGTAAAATCAAAATTTTCCTTTTAATTAGGGGTGAGCAAAAAATCAAGGTACCCTGAATCGGAACCGGAACCTGTTAGGAACCGCAGGTTTCGGGGTGGGAACCTCTATCTAGTTCCGGGTAGCAAAATGGAGAACCTGTTGCAACAGGTTTCGGTTCAGGTTCTCAATTTTTTAGAACCGGAACCTGTAGGGTATCATGTAAACTGTTAAAAGTATCACTTAATTTTAAATTATAAACCAATTCTAACTTATTTTTTTAATAATAAATATCAAAATTACAATTATAAATATATGTATTAAATTTGTAGACAACTACTATTAATTTGTTTATTTTGCGAGTTGTAAACATTATAAATTAATTAGTGACCAACCAGTTTTTTTATTAAAAAAACTGCAAAAAGATAGTAAGTATATTACAAGACAGGGTACCCTGAATCGAAACTGGAACCTGTAGGTTCCGGTTCCGGTTCCCAATTTCAGGAACCTGTTCAACAAGTTCCGGTTCCGGTTCCCATTTTGAGGAACTTGTTGCAACAGGTTTTGGTTCCAAGAATTTTTACAGGGTACCCTGTTATGCTCATCTCTACTTTTAACAATATTGGGTGGCTTTCTATTGCAAATTAATTAGTGCACCCAGGTGCACAATGCTCATATCCGTAATTCCCGCTAACATATTACGAGTACCATAATAAAAAACAAATTATTAAATAACCCTAAGGAAAAAAATTGCATATATTTCCTCTTTTTTTTGGGTTTTTCTAAACTGTGCCCCTAAGGTAATCGAGTTTCTAAGGTGTACCCATACTTTTTCAAAACTTTTTCAAATTTCTAAGTTGTGCTCCTCAACTTACTACCATTAATGAATGATACCCTCCTTGGGATTTCCACGTCACCTAAAGTTAACAATAAATTTAATAAAAAAATGATAAAAGGTAAGAAAATGATAGGAGATAGAAATCTTAGCCACCACAACCCTAATAACGAAACGAAATCACACTCTCAATTAACTTTTAAACTACACTAATTTAGGGAAAGCTTAGAAAAAAACTTTTTTTTCCTCTTGATTATCCATTTCTTGTGAAATAAACCAGGAGCTGGGCAACAAGAATGAGCACAGTGAAAGGAGTGGCAGTCATCTCCGGCGCCAATAACACCATCAACGGCTCTCTCCACTTCATCCAAACCTCCAATGGTCCGTCTTTCTGAATTTTCTCTATCCTCCATTTTTACCCAAAAATCAATCACTTGAATATTTGAATTTGTGAAAAAAATGCAGGGATAACTCATGTAAAAGGAAGAATTGCAGGCCTCACTCCTGGTCTTCATGGCTTCCATATTCATTCTCTTGGTGATACCACTAATGGTTGCAACTCCACTGGTAATTTTAATTATTAATCCTCCATTTTCATGGGTTTTTATTTTTATCTATACTTTTCCTTTGATTAAAATTTAATTTTCTTAGGTGGTTTATGATAGCTTGATTAAATTTATTTTTCTAATTTTTCATCTCATTTTTTTTTATTTGATTAACGTTTTTTTTTTTTTCCTTTCTTGGGGATTTATCAGTTTATCATGTTTGGTTTTTTTTTTTTTCCTGATATTATTATTTTGAATTTGAATAATGTTTTTATTATTATTTTTTTATACTTGTATTTGTATGATAGCTTGATCAAATTTATTTCTGGGTTTTACTTTTAATTTTGCCCATCTTAATTCTTTTGATTTGATTGATTAATGTTTTTTATGTTTTCTTGGGGGGTTTTATCAATTTATGTTGCTTGCTTAGTTTTTTATAGTTGTTTTTTCTTAACTCATTATCATATGAATTTGATTACTGTTTTTCTTTTTAAGGGCCTCATTTTAATCCCTTAAAGAAGGATCATGGAGCTCCATTTGATTCAGAGAGACATGCGGGTGACCTGGGAAACATTGTTGCAAACAGTGATGGTGAGTAGTTTTTTGGTGGGAATTTTGCAAAAATTTGGATGATTTGGTTGATAATGTGATATGGTAAATTGCTTATTTTTGTAGGGGTTGCTGAGGTTTCAATTATTGATTCCCAGGTAAGATTTTATGATTAGAAATGCCTTTGCTTTTGGTTTTAGCAGTAGTTGAATTAGTGAGATTTTCCGATTGATTTGAGTGTAATGAATAATGATATGGTTGTACTTATTGTTGGAGACAACGGAAGTATAATGGGTATAAGGATCGAATATATATATATATATATATATATATATATATATATATATATATATATATATATATATATAAAATAAACAATACATCCAAAAACTTTAAATGACTAACAACCGCTTTTCTACCGTTCCAAGCTTCATAGGGAGTCTTGTAACGAACAGCTTTAGTTGGTGAACTGTTGAGTATAACGGTTGAGTATGTAAATAGCTGTATTTACAGCTTCGGCCCATAATGTTTTAGGAAGACCCTTTTCTTCCATCATGCTTCTTGCCATTTCTACAATTGTGCGATTCTGGTGAGGTGTTCTTGAGACTGTCAATTGTCTTTTAATTCCTTCATTTCTACAATGCTCCATAAAAGGGTTATATATAAATTCACCCCCTCTATCACTTGTCAATGTCTTTATCATATATCCACTTTGTCTTTCAACTAGGAGAAATACATTGAAAGTATTTGACTTTTGATTGAAAAAAAAATATCCACATCATACGGGTGTAATCATCGACAAATAATAGAAAATACCTCTTATTATGTAGAGAAGGATTTCTTGTGGGGCCAAATGTATCTGCAAGTACTAATTCAAGAGGAGCTTTGGCTCTCCATGAAGTCTTTGGGAATGGAAGACGGTGCATTTTTCCATATATACATCCTTCACAAACTTAGAATTTTTCTATCAATGTGTGGTAATCCAACAACCATGTATTTTTGTTTCAATAGTTGTAATCATATTTTGTTCAGGTGTCCATATCGTAAGTGCCATAGATAAGATTCATCCATAACATTTGCTTGCAATGGCAGCTTATTTTGTGGCATATGAAGTGGGAAAACTTTATTATCAGCCATTTGTACTTTTGCCAATATAGTACCAGATTTTTTGTCTGTAACAATACATTCCCCATTGTCGAAATTAGCTGAATATCCTCGTTGAACAAGTTGCCCAACACTTAGGAGATTATGTGTCAAATTAGGCACATAAAGAACATTATGTATGTATTTTGTGTCATTTGATTTGCTATTAACAGCAACAACTCCTCTTCCTTCGACATTTGCCTTTTTTCCAATCACCTAAGGTGACTTGATTTGCTACACCCATATCTAACTTGATGAACATGTCCTTATTTCCTGTCATGTGGTTGCTACAACCACTATCTAAAAACCATAAATTGTTCACCTTCAGCATTTGCGGTGAAATTCGCTTCATTTGTATTATTTCCATTTTGATGCCAACAATCCTTTTGAGAATGACTCGAATTACGACATCTCTTACATCTAAAATAACATTCAAATGATTGATGGTTAGACTTACCACAAATATGACAATAATTATTTGACCTTTGTTGATAATTTTGATATTGTCCGCGACCTCTTCCTCGGCTAAAATTGTGGGTACCAAGACCTCTACCATATTGGTGTCCTCTTTGGTTTCCCCCTCTTTTCTCTAACTCTCCTTGATATTGTTTGTTTGATATGTTAAGTTGGGATTGAAATGTTTGATATTTACAAGTTGATCGATATTTGCATTTCTTTTCAATTTTTGCTCATGTGATTCCAAAGATCCCATTAACTCATGCATTGTGAGAGTTGACAAGTCCTTAGACTCTTTTATTATAAATGCTGCAGTATTATATTTTTCAGTTATATTTCTCAATACTTTTCGTACAACTCTTTTTTCTTCTAATGTATCACCGAGACTTCTTATTTGATTAACTATCTCTATGACTCGTGAAAAATAAACTTGGATTTTTTCTGTCTTTTGCATTTCAAGATTATCAAAATCTCTCCATAGATTTTGTAATATGATAGCAACAACTTTTTCGTTTCCTAGAAATCCTTGTTTTAATGTATCCAAAGCTTCTTTGAATTTTTTCAATCCATATAAGCGGGGAAATATAGTTTTATTCACGGCATGAATATATCGTAATGCAAGTGCATCTTTTTTCTTGTTTTCCTTGTGTAGATTTTGTTGTCCTTCATTAGGATTTTCTAGAAGGTCTTCATAGCCTCCTTCCACGAGCTCCCTTAAATCTTAGAGATATAAAGAATGTTTGCATTTGACTACTCCAATAGTCATAATGTTCTCCGTCAAAGATAGGAAGAGTTGGTTGGGAATAAGAGAAAAATGGTGTTGATGATATACCTATTCCGGCTCTAATACCAAATTTGTTGGAGACAACGGAAGTATAATGGGTATAAGGATCGAAACTATAAGAGATATATAAAAATATATATATATAATAAGTAGAGTTGCAACTCCTACTTTATTTAATAAAATAATAGAGATTGATTCGGAGAATTTAAGATATTATATTATGTTGTTATTCATTCTTATATTACCTTAAATGAAAAATTATTACAACTTTTATAGAGTGTTACAAACTAAAATAAGAGAGGTGATAAATCAATATTATTGTAAGCCTTAAAAAGAAATAACCTTTTACTATTTTATTTTAAGATTTCCCTTTAATTTCTCTTTTATTGCAAATTAATCTCACGCTTATGTTATAGTTACCATTTTTTTTTGCAAATCTGTGATTGTTGATTTTCTAACTCGGATGCTTAGCACAAAAAGAGCAGGGTGTAATTTAGAGGGTGAATGTTAAACTTTAGCTTTATAGAGCTATTCAGTTTGTTAATTGATTGATTATGGGAGAGATTGTTATATATACCCGGGTGCAAGGTGCACCCATGAGTATTTTGTTCTGATTTTGATGATTGTTTTCATTTAATAATCAAATGAAGAGCAAAAACTAATATTGGATTAGTTGGGTGAACGGTGCACCCGATTGTATATGCCTAGTAAAATATACAGTATTTCCCGTCAAAAAATAAAAATTACGTATAGCATTATTGGATTGTTAAAGCAAGCTATTTTTCTCATAATTTTATTACTTTTGGTAATTTAGATACCACTTAGTGGGCAACACTCAATTCTTGGGAGGGCTGTTGTGGTGCATGCTGATCCAGATGATCTAGGAAGAGGTAAGCCAAGAAAGTCTTTAATCATGTTGAATGTTGCTTACTATCTACATCTCCTTTTCTTTAATTGTGATTTGCAAATTTCCTTCTTGCTGTGCTCTCTGTTATTTCATCTTTTCAGAATAATTAATGTCATTTGTGGAGGTTCCTTTTGCAACATATATAGAGTAATTATAAGATGTTTGAAAATTCTTTTGGTTGCTGACTTTTTAATTACATCCATAAGGAGTAAATAAAGGCATGGAACCATTTAAACACTACCAAGACTTCGAAAACAAGCAGAATTACAACCACCCACGAGCAACATCTAAGACAACTGAAAACAATCAAATTCTGATTAGTCCTTGCATTGTTTTCTTTACACTATACTGGACATCCTGAATCACCTTCAGCACTGTAATAATTATTCTCTTTCAGAGAACATTATTCCTTTCCATCCAAACCTTATACACCACTGAAACAATAGCAGCCACCAAGACCCTTTTCTGAACTTTGAGCACTTGTATCTCCTCTCTACCCAGCTAAGCGGTATAGGAAGTTCCTTGGCCCTGGTGTGCACACCTAACCAAATTCTGAATTCCCTGTATGTATTGCCTACTGTATGTGCAATCAAAGAACAGATGCTGATGTGATTCCGTCTCTTAACAAAAAATCGAACGATTATCTGAATTATGCTACTATTTTCTGAAGTTTCTGCCTGGTTTGCTATCTTTCATGCATGTCTAACCAGACTATGCACTTGTGATTAGGAGTACTAGAATAATCCCAAACCAATTTACTCTAATGTAGTCTTTGACTAGGCTGACAGCTCTTCAAAACTCTTTATACATCTTGTCTATGCAGAACTTGTGTTGATTCAACCAAGCATCACCTTGTACATGAAAATTTTTACCAATCCTGTTACCCTTTTCATCTTAATAAAGGGTTCTCAGACTTCTCAGTTTACTTTGTAGTCTGACTTTCACCTACTATTGTCAGTAATCAATAAGTGACTTCTTGATCCTAAATAACCTCTATATATAATAACTTCTATCTTGTATTTTTTGATACTAAATCTTTTTAGGGATAGTATGCTGTCTAAGCAGGGGAGAAATTTCCAGACCATATGTTTGATGTCTTATGTGAGAAAAATTTATTTTGGTGTATTTTCTTCAAGTTCTTTAATGTTGACCATGCCAATACCTAGCTTAAATGAATTTGTAATAATGTTATTACACCATTACATGCAACATCCTATATCTTCCCGATTATTGTTTGTGGATGATTTGGGTGAATGTCATTGAGATCCTTGTACCTCCAGTGACCTGTTTCAAATGAGCCAAATAGCAAAAAAAACTTTTTTACTGTCGATAAACAAATAGCAATTACTCGATGGCCATGGTTTCTCCTTACACCTATCTTCATTAAGAAATAATTTTGGGGGTTTGGTTGGCCTGGTTGCACTCTCTTAGTCTTTGCTGATTATTTTCATTGATGAACAGGTAGACATGAACTCAGCAAAACAACAGGGAATGCCGGTGCTAGAGTAGGATGCGGTAATTATTTTCATTTGCAGTTATTCATTGATAGGCGTGTCGCGTACCTAACAAAAATAAACCAAACAAGACCACTACTATATAGACGGGCAAGTAAGGATCGAATCCCACGAGACTAAGGTTCACCTAATTAATTAGACTCAAGCAATCACTAAGCAAATAACCAATTCGATGATGAAGAATACTAATAACTAATATACTAAATAACACAATTAATCTAAAGAAAGTGATGAATCAATGAACTAAAACATCCAAGATCAAGCATTACCACGAATATAATTGATGCATTAATAAATCTACCCCCAATAACAAATGAATTTGATAAGAGGAAAAGCATTCCCTAAACAATACCAAAGGTCTCTTCCGAGTTATCAATGGCTTCCCAAATGAACTATCAAGCCTATTTCCATGGAATCAAGCAAATGAGGGACATTAAACACAATACTTAACTTCCTAATCATCCAATCACCTACTTCCGTGATGAACTTCAAACCCTTAATTGAAATACCTAAATCCCGTTAATACCCAACTTCCGTTGCGATTAGAACAAAGGGATGATAACAATACTAATTATTCCTAATCTAGCATTGGCATAAACACAATCAATTAAGCATGTCAATTGGGATCATTATTGGAGAATTTAAAGATTCAATTCATGTATCAATCATATTCGGGCTTTGCAAGATCCCGGATTATGAATCTACTCACACATAATAACGAAAACAAAAACAAGATTCAATGAAGAAAACATAATTAATGAGCAATGAAAAGTAAAGGAAAAGAGAATAGATAAATACCAATTGCTTCAATCGAAAGAACTCGAATTGTTGATGAGCAATAATCCAAACATAAAGAGTAGAAATTAAACTACGTGAAGAGAGAAAACTAGGGTTTTTAAGGAAGTTCTAATATTAGGAAAATAAAAGTTGTCCTCTAAACGTGATTATAATGGGTATTTATACCACTTAAAAAGATAAAATCCGAGATTAAATAAAAAACGGGCTCCGCGCAGCGTCGCCCGGTCTGCCCGGGCATGGACTGCCCGATCGGGCGGACAAGGTAATTCACTTCTTCTCTGTATTCTTCTTCTGCCCGGTCAGCCAGGGCCTTGAGTGCCGGTCGGGCGCGCAATACAACTTAAAATGAAGCTCTGTCTGTAATGCACTCCTCACAGCCCAGTCTGCCCGAGCTTGGCATGCCCGGTCGGGCATGTGGGACTTATGATGATTCTTCGTAGTTAGCTTGCTCTTCCTTCGCCCTAGCAGCCAGGGCATGGGGTGCCCGATAGGGCATTGGGGAAATCTTCTTCTTTCACTCAACATTCTCTTATTTGACCATCCAAAACGAGTCCAATTCATCCAAAAACCTTCGTATTCCTATGAAACTCAATCAAATAGATCGAACACACACTAGAGAAGAGATTGTTAGCGAGAAATGGCTCCGTAGAGCCCAAAACCATGCAAATTACGCTATAAAACCGGGATAAAACATGGTATAAAATGCATACATCATTCATCTTTGACCTTGATTAAATTTAGAAAAAATGATATAAAGAAAAAGATAGGCCGTTACCTTATTCCTGTGGAGCTTATCTTCTGACCATCCAATTCCTGTTGGAACATATGGACATCTCAAGCACTTTCTTTAAACCCAGATTTACACAATAGAAAGTTAAGCATCTGTAAAAGCTATAACCTTCTTGTTTTTGTTGCTGCCTTTGTTATTCCAACTTAGCTCTTAGGTTAACATGGATATGGTTCCTTAAACCATTGACTTTTAGGCTAAAAATTTGAAAAAGACGATATGCCTGAGTTCTAACCCTGAACACAAACTTTGCAAGCTTTTGTTAGCTGATTCCATGTGGCATAGCTGGTTCATATTTGACATTTTCACTTAAGCTTATTAATTTATTTGTTAAATGTGAGACCCTTCCACATCACCTCCCTGTGAAAGACTGATAAAGTGATAATCATGCTGCATGCTTAACCATTTTGCAGGTGTAATTGGGCTGCAATCGTCTGTATAGATCTTTTGCTGAACTATTTGATGGAAAACGTGAACTACATGATGTATGGTTTCGTTCTTATGTAGTAACTATGGACTGTATATTTAACTTATTGAATTGAATGTCAATGAAGTTCTTGTGAGATAAATGGAACAATAAAAGTAACTCATCTCAGAGTTTCTCTCACAGAAATTTTACTATAGAACATACAAACGAGCTTGCTTAGTAACAGAAACTTTCTAATGATATGTATATTTAACAGAATATAGAAGCTAAATCTTCCCAGAAGGATTCCATGAATCTGACATAACATGAACATTAGTCCCAGAACCAATCTTTGAAATCGAACCATTAACAGCCAAGAGATGTCTCTGCTGCATATTTCTGAAAACTGGTTAAACACTGCGCTTTATATGGAAGTGACTAGATCTTTTAACAAATTCCATTAGTAGTTCAGGATTTCAGGTGTTGCGAATACTGTTATTGCATCAACCAGATTATATCTCAAATTATATGTAAAGTGCAAACACTAGTTATATTTAAGTCAATGATGCAAAGTTTTATAATTTACTATCCACAAATGTAGAAAAAGAAATAGAAAGCGTGGTAAAAAAAACGGGAAATTTTACGTGGTAACCCTCAATTTTTGCTACTTCTACATGGTAACCCTCCCTTTTTTTTTCATAAAATGACCCAAATAAAAAATTTATTCCACCTTAAAACCTAATTGAATGTTTTAAGTTAAATTTTTGGTTAGAAAACTATGGTTAGAATTTTTGTTAAAAAAACACATCCTTTCTCTCATTTCTTCCCCCACCTTACTCCCTTTAGCTACCTCCTCCCTTTCTCAGTTTCTCTCTCCTATGGTGCGCTGCCACCACCACCACCCAACTTATCTGCCACCATAACACTAAGGGGGCGTTTGGTATAGAGTTAGTATAGGAAACGGAATGGAAATAAATTAGGAGGGGAAAGGGTAACAAATAGTGTTACCCTTACTAGTTGTTTGGTACATCAAAGGAAACGAAAACAAACGGAAATGAAAAATAAGAATGAATAATACAATATTGTCTATGCTACGTATTTTACGGTTAAAAAAAAGATAAAAAAAAAATAACCTGTATTGCATATATATATATATATATATATATATATATATATATATATATATATATATATATATATATATATATATATATATATATATATATATATATATATATATATATATATATATATATATATATATATATATATATATATATATATATATATATATATATATATATAAAGCAAATTTGGCACTCATTAATTATCCAAACATTGACTAATAATTTGTCAATCATCATATGAATAATTCCAACACATAACCTATATTGCTCAAGTTGCATATGTTCAACAAAAAAACAAAGACATGGCAGCAAGACCTCCACTGCCATTTGGTTCATGGACTATCATTGGCCATCTACATCTTCTCAGAGAGCTTTCTCACATAATAGCAGTGGCAGTGAGTTAACAGCAATTACAGAAGACCAAAGAGGGTGTAGACTACATATGAACTCAGGTCATATGAACTGTCCAGCAGCAGTTCTACAGATTGACCTTTAATAGCATTACAATCTTCAGAAGAAGAAAAAAATGAACAAAGAGGAATGAAATAGCAGTTCATACCTTCACCCATTCATCGTACACGGCCTTGTCTACTTGCAACAATTTCTTTTCAGCATCCCATCCAAATCCTGAGGTGGATTGCATTTATGCAAATGCACTATATTTCTCCGACCAATGCTTGATCTTTGACTCAATGTGGGGAACCGTTCTCAAGCCACAATTAGGAAGTACACCATTGATCATCTCTTCCAACTTATTCATGTAACCATTCTTAAACTCATTCTCACACTTCCACTTCGGATCGCAACTCAACTCATGCAAATATCTTATTAGAACCACATCTTCTTCATACGTCCAATACCTTTTTATTTTTACCTCTTCCTCGATTGCTTGCCTCACCCTTAGCTTGACTAGCCTCCATCTGAAAAAATTGTAGATTAAAAGGCATAATAAAACTTAACAGAACAAATTACAAGGCAGATTATAATATAACTGACATAACAGATTACAAGGCATATTAGACATAACTAAAACTGAAAAGATTAGAAGGCATGTTAGTTAGAACTGAACAAAATAGATTACAAGGCTAAAGAGAATGAACATAACAGAATGTACTCGAAGAAAAAAGAAAAAAAAAAAAGAAAAAAAAAGAAAGAAAATCATACATTTTGTGCTATTGAACATGTCTACCTCTCGCCCTCCAATCATTAAACATAGCTTGGGCTAATTCGTTTCTAAAATTGGTCCAATGATCTGAAGTAGCAACACTTGTAATAATACTTTCATCATCGGAATCACTTTCGGAATCATCGGAATCACTTTCGGAATCATCATTGGATTCATTCAACTCATCTTCGTTTATGTCATCCGTAGGCATGAATTTTCTAATTAGATTATGCAATAAGCAACAAGCCATTACGATACGTCCGTGAGTTCTTATAGGGAAAAATGAAGGACTTCTAAGAATACTTCATCTTCCTTTAAGTAGGCCGAAACATCTCTCAATCACATTCCGCGCCCTAGCATGTTTCATGTTATAAAAATCCTCGGCACTTTCGGGTTGTTGATCCGTCCATTCCTTTAAATGGTATCTTTGACCTCTATATGGAGCAAGAAAGCCCTCGCAATTCGTATATCCCGCATCAACCAAATAATAATTACCTTCAAAGTTATTAAAGAAAAGGATTACTACCTACCAAAACTAACAAAACTTATACACTCACAAAAGAATGAACTTCACTTACCTCGAGGTACCCTAAAATCGTTTGGTCTAGAGAGAGCATTGCGAAGTACACGCATATCATGGGCTGAACCTTCCCAACCATGAAGAACATAAATAAATTGCATATTGGGTGCACAAACACCCAATACATTCATAGCAATTGTTCCTGTTCTTGTTCTATACTTTGGTCGTTCTTGTGAAGGCACATTTACATTAATGTAAGTCCCATCTAATGCCCCTAAACAATTATACAAAAATAGGAAAAATATTACTTACAAACAAGCAAAAATAAGAAAATCTTAGCAAAATTTAGGGGCTTAGAAAAAATCAATACCTTGAAAGATTTCCACCTTTCATCTTCACAATTATCCGATATTGGTGTGGGATTGTAAAGTAGTACTTCATGCAACTTGAGAAAAGCCCTTAGACAACGGTAAAATTGTCGGCTCACGGTTTCTCAACTTCTAAAGAAGTATTGTCCAATAGACCTATTCTTCTTATGGTGAGCCAATGTGTATAAAAACATGGCTACTATCTCTTGAAGCGACATGTTTTTTGTTCCACTCAAACCCCCAATGTCTCTAAGCATCTCACAAATAATATTGAAAGTTCTTCTATTAACGCGAAGCTCACTCTTGCATGTCACATCACTTTCCCTATAAAGCCCTCTCAATACAAACATTCGTAACAATTTTTTGTTTCTTTTCCTTTCTTTTAATTGTACACCCCTTATTGTACCAACACACATCATATGCCACATCCAATACATCATCAAAATAATAATAACCATTGAAATAACTAGTTGTATTTGTTTAAGCTTTTTCTTCCTTATGGAACGCATAAGTCGAGGCATTGTAGAAACCTTGAAAAATCAGTCCAAAAAATGTACAATATTATCAATATACACTTTCACAAACAACATCATTAACTAACAAATAATTTCTAAAAAAAAACCCATATGATGATAACACAAGCAGTAGCAAAATTCAGAGTATCCAGTTCACTACTCTAATGTTAATATTATACACATAACGCCTATTTTAGCAAAATTCAGCTTCCACTCAAGTTCAAAAGCTGAAAAATCAACTACTGGTACATTTTTCACCAACGTCCCAATAAACCAAGCTAAACTTCAAATAATAGAAAACAAGATAAAATTAAAAACCTATGATGGCAAACGATTAAATTAGGGATAGGACCAATGCCCTGACTACGGCGAGCCCACTCAAATTGAGGGGGTGGCTTTTAGCACTACTACATCAATACCATCAAATTGGGGGGAAACACAAAAATAGCCAACAATTACATGCAATAATAGCAATACATACCATCAAATTCAGCAGAATATCAATAAAAGAGAAAAGAAAACTTCAATCAAACAAGCAAGTAAAGAATTCAAATCAGAAAGCGAAATTGATATCGCATAAACCCTAGAAATTGAACAAGCGAAAGTGAAGAATTTACCGTACTTGAGATTGTAGAATTCTATAGATTTTAGGTAGAAAACTGAAAATTTGGAGCGAAATCAGGAGAATTGCAGATTTCTTGGGAGAATTTTTAGAAAAATTGTGGATCAAAGTTGGGAATTTTGTTGAACGAGAGGAGAGAGGAGAGAGAAAAGTTGTTTCCCTTGTTTTACTCTGGAAACATTATTTGTTTCCCCATGTTTTACTGTGGAAACAAAATAATGGAAACGATTAGAGCCGGGAAACGGTTTTTGTTTCTTTAGCCATTAAACAAACACATTGTAACGGAAACGGTAATTGGTTCCGTTTCCAACTCTACCAAAAACCCATACCAAACACCCCCTAAAGTAGCAACAAAAATAGCCACAACCCACAAAATCCTAAGGTTGCAGCTCCCTCTCGCAACCCTCTTATCCAATGATCCAACACCACCAAGGCACCGTCCCTAATTAATTTCGAAGGGGTGGGTGGTGTGAGTCAAATTTATGATGGGGGTGGCATGTGGGGGTCAGATTTTTAAAGGAGGTAGGCGGTGTGCGGGTAGAATTTTTTAAGGGGGTTGACGGTGTGGATCGAATTTTTAAAGGAGGTAGGCAGTTTTTGGGCTAGCGTGGATGGATTTGGGTGGATAGGTAGTTGATTTTACAGGTTGAAAGGTGGTTTTCGAGTAGTGGGTGAGGTTATTTACGGTTGGAGGGGTGGTTTCGAGCTAGATGCGTGGTTTTGTGGTGGGTATTCGGCGGTGAGGTGGGCGATTTTCATGATGAAGGTGGATTTGGGAGTGGCTGGTGTAGATTTCAAAAGTCATGGTTGGTTTACGTTGGATGGGCGGTTACGGTGTTTGACGCGGTGGTGGTGGTCCTAATGGAGGTTGTAAAGTGTTGTAG